CACAGTTTTTACCAAATTTTCAACAAAATGAACAAATCAATCCAAATCAACAAAATTTTGACAAATTCAGTAATCAACAACAAGATAGTTTTAATTTAAATCTTGGGGCACACTTCAGGTGTAACAGTTATATAGCGAAAACGCTGTGTTAAACGCTGTATGAAATAGTCGATTTTATGACTTCTAGGAAAATGTCTGTAACTTTTCGATGCAAGGTCATACAGAGTTGTGCGAAGTCTTATTTTGATCAGAAACGTTTGCTCTACAAAGCCGTGTTTTCAGAAAAATTTTATTGCACAGGTAGGAAAAAACCATTATTTGACGACCCATTTTTTAGAGGCTCTTAGAAAACTTGCTCAAAATCCCGGAAAAACCACTTTTGTAACCAAAAGCAATACAGATTCTGGAAGTAGACATCTATCTTTTCATGTGCGTATCTCAAAACCGATTTTTTGACCGAAAATCACCATTTCTGAGGGGGGGGCCCTTAAGCTTTTTACGAGTTTCGAAAACTTTTAGAAAATTTTTGGTTGGATTAGGAGGCTACCCCTAATAGAAACATCCTAAAAAGTTTGATCCGCTGAGGCACAATAGAAGGCCATGCTCTAGGGAGGGAGAGGGGTTACTATACGTTGGAATTTCTGTTAAAAATCACTAATGCCAGCTGTACTATCACCTCCATAACGCTGTTGTTTGAAAAGTTGTTCAAGGCCGTTTTCTACATTAGAATTTTGTGGGTTCTCATTAAGATAAGTTTACAAGTATGGAGAAAAATTTTGTATAATGTGGTTGATACTCGATATAATCATACAAATGGCATGAAAAGGAACGAATCAATAGCAACAATTGTTATGTACAACGTAAAACAAAAGAAAGGAAAGCTGCGCGTTTATTAGAAACTATAATCCGAATTAACCATGAAATTTGAGCTGTTTATCATGATAAAATAAAAAAGTTCTGTTCTTGTACTTAATCTTTCAGCCGGCTTATCTGCATCCAACAGTCAAGTTTGTAGATGATGAGCTGCTTGAAAAGAACAGTTTTGAAATAAATGGTTCGGTTGCTGCAGAATAGTCAACTTGAGTTATATTTAGGTTTGAGTATCGTTATCAAATGCTTAGTGCAGTATGTTGTACACTTGGTGATAGTTCTTCATTCGATGAACTTTGTATATAAGTAACCGACCGATGATGATCTTTCTCCTAATTACCGACAACGGCATGAATCATATTCTATTCTAGAAAAAAGAAAAGAGAAAAAGCTATTGACAGAAAGATGAAATGTGCTTTAACAAAGGGGGATACATGAAAACTTACAACAATTCTGATGCAAACGTAAACTACTATTGTTGCCTATACACGACTTTTTTGTATAGGCACTCCATCCATCAATTTACAAAAATGCTTAAGATCATTTTTTAGATCGATTTTTCTGGTGACAATTCTTTATTTCCTTTCTTTTTCCTGTCCTTGTCAAAACAAGAAAATCAAAAATTTGTATCTCACAAAAAAATCATCGTGAGGTACGTTTCGTTATAAAATCAGACGCCACAATCGTGTAATACTTCAGAAAAAGTTGTAGAATCATAACCACCGATTGAATAAAAATAAAAGAATCAAGTGGAATAGAACCTGTTATCGCAGCCTTAAAAAACAATCACTTCTCTTTGAAAATGTTTTGGAGAAAAGAGAGTTCAGTAAAATTATCGAATGAATTACATAGTAGCGATAAGTCCCAAGTATGTATCGTATCGTTTATACTCTAAGCTTCGTTTCATAGAACAAACTATACTAGGTCTACCTGGTTACAGAATTGAACAAGGATGAATATCGTCATCGATTAGACGCCCTTGATCTGATGCGCGAAATCTTAAATGAAGAAAAGATTAATCTACCTGAGATTGTTGTCGCTGGTGATCAATCTGTTGGAAAATCAAGTGTTCTTGAAGCACTCTCTGGTATTCAATTGCCAAGAGCACAAAACATATGTACGCGATGTCCACTAGAATTACGTTTAAAAAATTCAATGAATGATGCTGAATATGCAACAATTAGATGTAAAGGAGAAGAGGAAGAGAAAATAACAGATCTTGATGATATTTCTCAGTATGTAAAGCGTCTAACACAAACATTAGCTGGTGATGGAGTAAATGTCAGTTCAGATCCAATTTATTTAACCGTATACAAACAAAATATACCAGATTTAACACTGATCGATTTACCTGGTATAAAAAATTTTCTTTGAATGATTAATCAATGATTTGTCTACTGTAAATGATTCGTTTCAGGTATAACACGAAATCCATTACCCGGTCAATCGAAAGATATCTATAAGCAAATAATCACTCTGATCGACAAATATATTCAGCCCGAGACGGCCATTGTTCTACATGTTATACCAGCTTCCGTTGATTTTACGACATCAGAATCGGTCAAAATATCGAAAAACTACGATCCTGAGGGGAAAAGGCAACTGATTGCTGTTAGCAAAATCGATAAGTTTGATAAAGGTAAGGAGAAAAAACGTTTCCATTTTTTTTCTTACCTAATGCAGTAAAAAAACAACTTGGAATAAAGTGTTGTACGATGTAGATCATCATTACAAAGTAAAATAGACAGTTTCTATAAAAGTCTAAATATGATCTTAAAATGATGTTTTGAGCAATCAAATTTTCACCAAAATACTGATTATAAATAGGTCGCTTCTAAGTCGTTTTTTCCTAAAGCGTAAAATATGTCAATTAACAGGCATTAAAAGTTCATTTATAGATCCTACAAAGAGCTAACATACAGCCTTAAAGTAATTCGCAGCCAATTTGATTTGATTTTGAACCTTCTATAACGCATGTTTTCGGTTTGTACATAGAATGTGATTAAGCAATTTTGTTATCTCAACAGAAAAGAAGAAATACTTTAATAAATCTTTTTTATTTTAAACTTTATACAAAAAATCGAAAATAATGAAATCGAAGGAACAGTGGTAGCATGACATGAACTTGACGTACAAAAAAACGTTAGAAAATCTTAAAAAACTGAAAAAGAAAGAATTAAACGTTAGAGTTATTGCTAGATAGAGAAAAATACCGAAAGTAAGGTGTTCTGCTTTGAGTAATTAAGAAGAAAGTCACGTAATTCAGCTATAGCTTAGACAGTTCATGAATAGTTTGCTCGAAATCTTTATTGAGACTTTTACATTTTCTTTCTCACACCCTCAAACATGGCACTTTGCTCATTCCACGCAATTATTGAAACAAAGTCATTTGAGCTAAAAAGATGGAGAATATCAGCTGAAGAAGTGAACTGGATGCACTAAATTTTTAGAGAATCCGACACAACTTCTAAAGATTCAAGATCTTTCGGTTTTGTTTGAAGTCATTTTTGTCTAAAACGCTAATGCATCGAAAATAAACAACAATTAAGAACAGCCATAGTAGCGGAATAAGACAATAATAAATGACCTAACGCAATTATCAATGAATAGTGACAGTATTATTAAAGTTTAAGGCCCATGGGGAAAAAAGTGCTTCCTTTCGTGTTTTTCCCCACCTTAAATATATTACAAAAGAATCGTATTTAATAATTATCCATTCAAAATAAATTTGGGGCTGATAGGTTAGAAATGCAATTCGATTACACTAGCGATTAATCGCTAGTGTAGTTGAAGTGTATTTTGAAAAATCGACGGAATCCGTAGCAGCGCTATTACTTGACCGCTAGATCATTAGTCTCAATGCTATTCAAACATTTACTGATTATAAAATCTTATAAATTTCTTTACTTCAATTCAGAAAACGCTTAATAATAAACGACACTTTTAAGTGACACTAAAAGCCATAAAAATGAACGTTTATGACCTGGTTGATGGATCGTTTTTATCCCCTACTATTTATGAGCCGTTACAAGTCGTTTTTTCACGGACTGAAAAACGGCTCGTCAAAGAGATGTTTTTGTCGTCTTCTTTACGCTTTTAATGATCTTTAGACAGATCGTTTTTAGGATGACTTTAAATTGCTCATTAATTGGCCATTAATGGCTCATGTTTTCCCACCTGGATATGTTTCTTATGTTCATCTCTACATTCTTCTTTTGTATTTTCACCTGAAGAAGCTTTATAATCGAACAGTCACATTAGCGTAGACCTACAGTTCAAAATGTAATTTGCATGCATATTGAGTAAATAATTGACTAAATCGTCGTGGCTGTCATAGTGATAAAGTATAGCATTATTTACATCTGCCTGTACTTCGGTTGAAGCACTTTTCATTGGACATAGACAACTAATAAATTTTCTTTATGCTATTCGAGGTATTGGTGAAAAACTCCAAGGCAAAGGACCTGGCAGTATGAAACTCGAATTTGGATGCGTAGCAGTCTTGAATCGATCACCAGAAGAAATTGAAGAAGAAATTAGTTTTGAAGAAATGAAACAACGGGAAAAAGCTTTTTTTAAAAAGAATCATCATGCTTTTCATCAAGTGCCAGAGGAGCTTCTAGGCAGCGATCAATTGGTGAAAAAATTAGCTGACATTCAACAAGACATCATTCGGTCAACATTTCCTAAGATAATCGAAGAGATTAAACAAAAACTTCGAGAAAAAAAAATCGAATTAAGTGCCCTACCAGTGGCTATTACATCTGAATTAGAATGTTGGACAAAGTTCAATGAATTAACCACTTTATATAGAATTGCTATCAACACTAAAGTAAATGGCGAGTATGGAAATGAACCAATGAATGATCTCAGAACAGTGAATGTATTTAATTTTGATGAAAAAGAGTAAGTTTTAGTTGCATTTCCCCTCATGCAGTCATGGGTCATCAGATAAAAGCGTTCATCTAGAATCTATTGTTTTGAAAACAATATACGTTAAGTGTATCGCTTCCTCTTTTTCGACGTCGTTAGAAAACATGGGCCTAATCTGATTAGGTCAGAATTTTTTGCTAGAGATAGAAAATCGACGTTTTTTCACCTTCGAGTACGTAATATGACAGGATCTGCTATGAATCTCCTCGTAACTCCGGTTTTCATCTAGTTTCGTTACAATCTCTCGAATGGTCTGTCTATTCTTCGGCTAAGATCATTCATCACGTATCTTAGATTTTGAATGTTTCTTCTCAAAAACTGTTCCTACATACACAAAAAAATTTGTAAAATACTTAAAATCTCTTGAAAATCTCAACTTTTGCTTATATATGGGCAGCTAACTGTCATCTGTGGGTCGGAAAATGGGAGTGTTAAACTAAGCGAAACCACAAGAAGGCTCCTGATGTGTGTAACTTCATTCGTTAAGTGCTGTTCGACCAGTAGTATAATGTACATGATGATGTCATCCGATGACTTATTTCATTGATTTCCTTTTAAGATAAGTGTCAATAAGAGTGAATTCCATAGATATTGATAAAGGAAAAGCTGTGCTCTTTCAGATAATTAATTGATGAAACTTAATAAACTCACAGATGCTGAAAAACATGTAAAATAGAGCGTGACCGACTTCCATTTTACCCAAATAACTTACTATTTGATGAACAAGAAATTAACGGAAAAATGTTTATCTTAAAATGAACGAAAACACACATCAATCAACTTTTTACGCTGATTTTGAGTAAAAATTTAAATTTAAATTAAATTTTTAGAAAATATTTTTTACTAAAAGGTCAAATTGGAGAAGATTCCAAAGTTGCATGGTGAAGACAACTGTACTTATGATAGAAAACAAAAAAATAGTTGACTAGACTCATTTAAATAGCGCAGTTTAGGTGAGCAACATCAGGTTCAAAGCATAAAATTCCATCACAGCCACTATTTGTGCTATAACTTTTGACACAGTGAACTATTCGAGCAAGAAAAAACCCTGGCATGCGCAGTCAGGTTCATATATGATTTTCAGAATTCAAGTATGAAAGTAACGTGACTGAATGAAAGCGATTGTCACCCCAAAGATCATAGAGGAACATTTCATATACGAGAGGGTGAAAACACGTTGCTTTCCTTTTTCCCGTTCACTTGCTTCTTAATTCGGCTGAACATTGGTCCCACATTTTCCAGTCAACCCTCAAAAGAAGAAGAACGATGTTACCCTTAATTGATTCTGTGCATCTCTCGGTAATAGAACAGTTTTTGTTTTTTTGATTTTAGATCGATTTACTGGGAAAATAAATTAACATTGCCATCTGAACAGCCACCGACCAAACATGTAACAGATGAACGAATTGCTTATCACTTTTATAAATTCCAAGTGGATTGTCAAAATAAAATTCAATCATGTTTTGCTGATTTTTTTCATCCAATATATTGTGAAAAAGTTTTAAAATTATTAGAAGAAACAGCTGGTGTCTCATTACCAAATTTTCCATCATTTCAAGTAATAAGCCGTTTATATCAACAAGAAAAATATAGATTACGTACACCATGTTTAGAATTAGTTAAACGTTCAAAAGAATATTTAAAAACTATATTAATTCGATTATTTGATAAAGTATTTACAACTGTAAATTATCCACGTTTATCTGAACGTTTAAAAGATTTAATATTAGATCATATTGATACAGCTGAAGAAAAATGTTTTGAACGTGTCAATGAAATGCTCGATATTGAAGAACGTGTATTTACATTAAATCATTATTATATGGATACAGTAAATAAAATAAAATTAAAACAAAAGAAATATGAGGAAGACAATGAATTTCCAGATGGAACGAATAAAAATGGACAATCCGATGATGCAATTTATAAAATTGATAATACAAAAATAAATTTTGCTGAAGTATCAAATGAAAAGATGGCTGCATTCGATATACAAATTGCAATGTTTTCTTATTGTAAAGTTGTTCAAAAACGTGTATGTGATAATGTTGCACAATATTGTTATTATTATTTTATAACAAAATGTGCTTTAGTTATAGATACAAAGCTAAATACATCGTGTATATCGGCTGATTTATTTAAACTAATGATTGAACCAGCAGAGATAACGAAAAAACGAAATAAATTAGAAGAAAGCATACGAAAATTTGCAGAGGCATTAAGAGTAGGACAAGAAAGTATGTGAAAAAAGAAACCGAACATATATGAAGAAAAATTTATAAAATGAAAACGCAATTTTAGTTTATTTTTGTATCATCTTAAATAATCATCATTTACATCACTAAGTTAGTCGATTTTATTGCCTTTAAATAAGACATCAAGAAACATATAGATTTCTTCAATAACAGGTGCTCTTTAGTTTTTCTCAGAAACGAATTGGACCTGTTTTATGACAAATGATGAAAT